CACACACACACACACAAACGAGGAGAGGAGAGGGGATTTCCCGGGGTGCCCTCTTCCCGGTCTGTGACACCTTTTCTTCAGGGTCCACGCGAGGGTCGTGACCCTGGGTAACGTGCCCCCCCCCCCCCTCGTTCTGATGTGATAGGCCGTTGGCAGACGTTTGAACGCCACCGTTCGAGCCCATGGCGCGTGCCATCCCCGTTAGAGGCGCGAAAGCAACAGGCGGTTCGCATTCGGAGCCTTCCACCCACCCAGCTCACCTCCTGTTGGTTCTCGTCTGCCTCAACAGGAAGCTCCAGCTCGTATTACCGCCCGCCTGGTGGGAGCCGTTTGACGGTACTCGTTTAGAAGTTGGACCTGACAGAGAGCCTCCTGCGCCCCGGCCCGGACGAGCACCGGGGACCGTTTAAAGACCGTTTAAAGACAGTTTAAAGACCGTTTAAAGACCGTTTAAAGGGGGGAGGCTGACGGGAAGGAGCCCGGCTCTACTCACACGTCCTGAAGCGCAGGTCCTCATCCTCCTCGGAGCCAAACTCCCTCAGCAGGGAGAGGAACAGGATGCCGAAGGCGTTCTGGATCCCGAACACCGAGCCGTTGCACCACATGGAGGCCAGCATGACCACCCAGCCCCAGCCGCCCTCCGGGTGCACGAACTCGGCCTCCTCGGCGGAGGGAGGAGACCCCTTCTCGGTGAGGTTCACCTTGCGGTCCCCGTTCTCCCGCCTGTCCCCGGCGGGCATGTCCCCCGGCGGTCCGCTCTCCCCTGTCATGGTTAGGGTGTCAGCTCTGGTTAGGGGTCGGGTTAGGGTTAGGGTCTGGAGGTGGACGGGTCACAAGCCCTCTGTGCTGCTCTGGTAGATGTGGGGCTGATTCTGGGGGCTGAAGGCTGCCTGGCAGCATGTGGAACTGTCACTCCGTTGCTGGGTTTCGGATATAAAGCGCCTGGGGGCGGGGCCTCGGACCCCCGCGAAGCTCATTGGCTGTTGTGGTCGACCGCGCAATGACGTAGTGGAATCCAGATGCAGATGACATCCTGCTGCGGGACACTGAGGGCTCTGTTTCTGTTTCTGCATTTAGCAGAGGCCTTTATCCAAAGCAGACACAATTTTACAGTTATCAATATGACAATAAGTTCTCTAGAGGAAAATCCCCAGTCAGAATCAGTGGTGACAGAAAAGAGAAGAGAGAGGGAAGCACAGAAAGAGGAGTAGAGGGGTTACAGAGGTCTGGGTTAGAGTTAGGGTTAAGAGATGCTCTGTGGAGAAGGGGGTCTTTAAGAGTTTCCTAAAGACAGATAGGGACGCTGCTGTTCTTGTAGCGCTTGGTAGGTCGTTCCACCAAAGTCTGGATTGTTTTAACGTGGTGCAGCTCTGCTAGACGACAATCCGTTAATGACCAGAGTGACCGAGTTGTGACATATGCCTTTGTAAGAGGATTCAAGTAGATGGGAGCAGAACCCTTAAGCACTTTGTAGGCTAGCATCAGGGACTTGTGGGCTAGCCTCAGGGACTTGTGGGCTAGCAACAGGGACTTGTGGGCTAGCAACAGGGACTTGAGTTTGATACGGGCAGCCAGAGGTAACCAGTGAAACTCGGTGAACAGAGGGGTGACGTGAGAAATTTTGGGCTGATTGAAGACCAGACGCACCGCCACGTTCTGGATCATTTATAAAGGTTTTAACGTCCAGACTGGGAGACACGTCAAGAGGGCATTACAATAGTCAAGGTGGGAGATGACCATAGACTGCACCAGGAGCTGGGCAGCATGTTGGGTTAGGTATGGCCGGATCTTTTCTTATGTTTAGTAGAGTGAAGCGACAAGATCGAGAAACGGAGGTCTTTAACGTGATCTTTAAAGGTCAGCTGGTCATCCGTCATGACGCCCCAGTTTCTAGCTCCCTTTGATGGAGCCAGAGATGGGAATGCTGGGGTGTGTTGTTGGTCTGACTGGAAAGACGAGCAGTTCAGTGATGAGATTCAGTAGGAGGTGATGGGCTTTGATCCATTTTTACATGTCAGAGAGAGTCTGAGACGTGTGCTGAGACCGTGTGGTCATCAGGAGGGAACGACAGATAGTGTGAGAAACCATGAGGTCAGAGGATCTGGCCCAGTGAGGTGGTGTATAAGGCAAAGAGAAGAGGTCCCAGTACTGAACCTTGGGGGACCCCTGTGGTGTTCTGCAGAAGTGTGGCCAAGCCAGGATACTCTACCAGAGAGGTAGGATTCAAACCAGGAGTGAGCTCTGCCTGTGATGCCCACTTGTGTCTGACTCCATCTGGACTCCAGGTCTTCAGCGTCCTCCACAGAAAGAACAGAAAAGCAGAAACGCCTCCATATTTTCCAGGAATCCATAGTTTAACCAGCAGGGTGAGTCCCAGCTAGACCAGATGCAGTCCGGCTGCTGTTCTCTGGGTGGAAGAGATCTGCTCAGTGGAGTTTAGACACCAGCCCACCAAATCCAGGGTTTCAGTTTTTAGGTTTTAGGGGGAAACGCAGAGAAAGGCTCCTAAATGCAACAGGACAAAGACAGCAGGCAAAGGAGGCAGCAGGTAGAAGCAGGTCTGTAATCGCCCATAGATGAATAAGCCACAGGACATTTAGAAACGTATACATTCATTGTGCCCCCCCCCCTCGATAGCCTGTACCCCGCCCCCCCAAGACAGAAATCCTGGACACGTCCCTGAGTTGCATCATAACCACTTCAAATTGAAAAGCTGCTGCTAATTTCTGTTGTCTGTCAAAGTTAGAGTCTTGTGATGTTACCAAACATTTCTTGTACTATTTTTTGCATTACAATTCTTAACATATTGTATCTTTAGTCTGGACGGTGTGACACATCTCAAATATCACCATATAAACAAGGATGTTGCCAGAAAACATTAAAACACAACAAGGTCTAATAAATCAAATTAAGGATTTAAGGTTCTAAAGATCTTTTAAAAAAAGCAATAGTAGTGTTGGAGGTCATTTCTTATTCCTGGATCCTATCAGTTAGGCAGTGTTCAGTGGGTCTGGTTCTCTAATCAGAATGATTTATTCACCTGCTTTAGATATAGATTACCTACCAATGGTGGCAGGGGAAAAAAAAAAAAAGTTACAAGATCCCAGTAATATTTAGTCAGACAGATAGGATTTAGAAAGACTGGTAGTTCTCATCAAAGGTGCACCTGAACTATGAGAGGCAGAATAAGAAAGAAAAATCCAGGAAATCAGAAAGCAGGATTCTTATAGAATCTTGTTGTAAAATCATGGTGGAAAATAAGTATTTGGTCATCCACAAACCAGTTAAACATCAGTCTCTCACAGACCTGTAACTTCTCCTTTAAGAGGCTCTGCTGTCCTCCCATCAATAAAGTACTGTCTAAGTCTAAGTCTAAGTTTGAGCTCGTTATCTGTATTAAAGACACCTGTCCACAGCCCCAGACAGCCAGACTCAAACCCAACCATGGCCCAGACCACAGAGCTGTCCACGGTAACCAGGAAGAGAGGCTGGGGAGGGAACCTACAACAGGCCAGCAGGTCGGTGTGAAGACATCACCTGTGAGAGCAACTGTAAGAAAATGGAAGACATAAAGACATACAGGACCACCGGTGATCTGCTTCCATCTGGGACCACACACAAGGCCCCATCCTGTGGAGAGGAAACATCCAAGAACTACACAGAGGGACCTGATTTAGGACCTGAAGAGAGCTAGGACCACAGTAAGTAACATTAGTAACACACTCCACCAGAGGGACTCACATCCTGACCTGATGAGGGCTAGGAGTAAGTAACATCACCAGTTCTCCACCTGGTGGTCAGTTGTTAGACAACATGGTGGTGAAGACTGTTAGAAGACCAAGTCCTCAATGTTGGGGAAGGTCAATTGGGAAAAGTTTGACAGAAACCTCTGTCCATTACATCTTCAATCCTCAGAGTTGTTCTGTCTGGTAGAGGCCCTGGACATGGAATCTGAACGGACCAGGTTCAGGACCTCTGTTAATGTGGGATTCACCATTTGCGGCCTTACGGTTGTAGGTTACCAGTGGACCCACTGATGGACCCCTGCTGTGAGGGTAGCCATTAAGCAGCTGACAGCTATAATGGCTCCTGCTTATGAGGGCTAAACTCTTATTATGGGAGGAATTTAGCAAAGCCATTGAGCCTTTTGGCTTGTTTTGTGGACCATTTCATTTGGATTGAAAAGCAGAGTCCATGACTTGTTATGGTGACCTGAGGATGTGTTCAGGTGCTGTAGGGATTGCTGACACGCCTCTTAGATATCGCATGGAGGTCTGGGACAGCAGCTGTAGAGTGGGGACCATTACCGTATTGCTTCAACAACATAGATTTGGGGACGGGTCCAGGTCCAGGCAGGGGCAGGAGGAGGCCTAGCCCCCTCAAACCAAATCCCAGACTCAGAATTGCTGCACAACCTTATGATCTTTGTAGAACAGGCTTTATACAGCAGAATAAGTTTAAACCTTCCTCTGAGAAGCTTGAGAAACAGTTTTTCCTTGTCACCAGTTCCCAACTTTTTAGGGAGTACTTGAATGTCTAACATCAGGGGTTCTTTCTGGAAGACTGTCCGGTGGTGCCTGGAGCTGTATCATATGTGAGAATGTATTTCTACAAACTGACATTTCCCAACATGGCTCAGTCTCTATCACATCAGGAATAGAAGAACTGATAAAGGAATGAACTAAGAAGAAACGCATTCAGTCAAACCTCTTTTTAATGTTGATTTTATTACTTTTTATGCAAAATATTTCATCCATTTTATTTGTAAAGACAAAACTACGCAAAGTGAAATCACGAGTGACTTCACACTGATGCTTGTAGAGTTTTAGCTGAGAAATGACAACATGTTAGCAGACGGATTCCTTTGGGTGTCTCGTCAGCCTGGGGCTGCTCAGAGTCCAACACACAGTCCAGGAGGCCAGGGATGTGTCCAGTGGGTCCAGAACCCCTTCAGCTCTCGGTTTTGGCCACTTTGGGGACCTGCCCCTCCGGCTCGCCGGACACCACCTGGCTCTTCCTCTTCCTCAGGCCCTTCATCTTCCGCGTCTGCAGCTTGGACAGGTCCTGCCTCTGCATGTGCACCTGACCGAACTTGGTGCCGAAGATGTCGCGGGAGATATTTTTCTTCTTCTTTGGCTGTGGAGAAGAGGAAGAGCGTCAACTTGATGAAGTCTTTGTTTGGCCAATAGCATTTTGTGTTTAGGAGCAAATGGATGGATTATATAGATTTTTAACTGTCCATCTAAATATTCAGCTCAATATAATAATGCCAATAAAAACAGTTCATGTCAACAAATCACTGATCACTGCACAAGCACAACTCTCCTAGACTTTAAGGTAAGGGGGGTGTAAAGGCCTGAGGTCAGCACGTCAGACAAGAATAAACTGACTGATGCTGTGAGAACATCCCTTTAAATGTCCATTTAAACCCACATGGGGTGGACAGCTACACCACCTGCAGGACAAATGCTTAACTACAAATATCGAACATCCCAAAAGTATTTCAAATTTTATAGAGGATTTAGCTTTTTTTCTTTTTCAATGTATTTTTACATATAAATCTCATTTCACAGCTATCTTAGTGAAAAGTCATGTTTTTTTTGGACAGATTTGTGCTCACTGTGAACCCCTAACGCGTTCATACAGGTCATTAAACAGCCATAAATATATGAAGCTATCCTACAGTCAGATTCATGCTCCCAGTTTTTTTGGTTTTGATTTGGACTCTAACTTTTCCTCTTTAACCAAGTGGTGTAAAAGTGGGCCTAACTCTGCCTTTCTGCCAGACGAGACTAGGGGGGGACTGTGTTTTGACACTCACCTTCAAGGCTTTGGGCTGTTTGTGAGCCAGCTTGGACAAGTCGTCCGACGCCAAATGGGATCTTCTGAGAACAAAGTCGAAGGACGGCCCGATCTCCTCCAGCTCGATGCGGGGGGTCCGGCAGCCCGACTTCTTCAGCAGACACCTGCAGGCACAGGGTCGGGCCATAAGGAGCCACTCTAAACGGGACTGTTTAGAGTGGCTCCTTAGGGTGCGTTTGTTTTCCTCACCTGTAGCTGCGCATGTAGATCTTCCCCTCCAGGGCGGTGAAGTGCAGCACGTGCTCCAGACCGGCCAGACGCACCGCCGCCACGCTGGGGCCCCGGAAGAAGTCTGCCACACAAGGGAAACGCTCACGGTCTGGGACAGGTACCGTACCCCCCCCCCACACACACACACACACACTCCACCATGCACACCTGTCAGCAGGCTCTTCAGGCGCCTGTGCTCGGCGTCCACATCGAAAGCTTCCCCCGCAAACACCAGCATGGGTTTGGTCCCCTCTGGACACTTGCTGGCCTGAAACAGAACACAAAACATCAGCGTCTGCTCAGACTCCGGCTGGAGGCTAAAGAGGGATTCAGTCAGATCAGGCGGGGTTAAAACATTTTAGAAGGATTTTATCAGAGCTGAGCTACAAGCTGGAAGCTAGGAAATGTTTTAAGAGCCCAAAAAAGCAACATTCTGTGAGAGAGAGCAGCTTTATGGTGATTGTGTCGGTTTAGAGAAGCTGCTTTAGGTCAAAATAAACGATACATGACAAGAAAACCGTGTGATAACAAACAAAAGGATACGATTTGTTTTCCCAGGAGGATAAAGTGTCATTTTTGGACCCTGCACTCCTAAAATGTTGCAGTATTCACAGCAGGATGCTTTCTTGTTACACATTATGTATCTTAGTTATACATCTGAACTTTGGAGCCTGGTGGATTTAGTGTTTATATACGAGCTGTGGTAGTTACTCATGTTTCCTTTTGTTTAACCGTGTCAATTCAAACCAGCTACATCTGTGTGACCTGCAGCTTTCATACAGCTACAGTCACATCTGGACGGCCCTGTGTGTGTGTGTGTGTGTGTGTGTGTGTGTGTGTTTGTGTGCTGACTCATCATCTGGAGTCAGAAAAATAGAAGCTGTTTTACTGTGCACAGCAGTATAAGGACATCAGCATGAGGGACGGAATCCATCCGGTGTTTGTATTCTTAGAGGATTTACCTTTATCTCACTGAGGGGGACGTACTTCTCCATCCCGAGCTCGATCATGTCCAGCACGTGGAAGTCAAACAGCCGACCTGCAAACAGGCGGGAGAAGCGGTCACAGGCAGCAGCTACCGTTTGGTTCTTCTAAATCCTTCTTAAGTCAGGTTTTGTAGCTCTCTCTAACCCGTCACACACAGCCACAGCGCTGGCACGATGTTTACATAACTCTATACTATCACCACCACTCTGTCAGAGTGTGATCGAACTGGAAAATACCAATGTCGTTATTCACTGTCACTAATGGTATAAATTATAGCACTGTGGAATTAAAACTGAGGCTTTGACACAACATGCATTTATCAGGGAGAAAAATGGTAAAGAAAGATAGAAAATCGAGCAAAAAAAGTTTTTTAAAGAAATGTGTAGGATAGTTTTATTTGACATTGGTGCACTTTAGCAAAGCACAAAAACTCCAGCGCATCAGGACAAACCTGACTGCTAATATTTAGAGCAGGATTCTGTGCGACCCACCCGTCACACCAGGTTAGAGACAATAAAGACGCCCAAAGGAGCGTCTTCTTTTTCTGGTATCAAAAACAATTGGCCTTGAGGAGTCCAGTCTGAGGTCCCTAAATCTGTCCACAAAGTCCCTCCAAAAACGAGAATAATTATCTCCAAGTTAAGTTGTTTAAGCCATCTTGATTTTGACTTGAAATTCCTGCTTTTGTGCCCATCAAAACACAATTACGACAAAGAATCTAAGGATAGGTGAGGGTAATTACAGGGTTATTATAAAACTATTATCAAACTCTGTAGCTCAACAGTTTACCACAACGGTTGTGGTGAGCCGTTTAAACCTGTAGCTGTAGTAGCTCTACTCCACCACAGGGTGGCAGCCACGCACAGAGCTGTGTGGACAGGGAGCAGGTGCAGAACCTCCAGACCCTCTGAGTGGACCTCCACAACGGAACAGAAACTAATAGGGAAAGAGGTAAAATACCAATATGCCCCGCTTTCAGACGCAAACAAATACAGCGGGCTGGCCATCAACGGCGAACGGCAGAGTCAGAAATGTGTGAACGGAAAGGTTTTTGTACATCAACCCGTCAGACTCACCGAATATGAGGTTGTTGGGCCGCTTCTTGTTGTGGGAGCCAAACAGAAACAGAGAGCAGTCCGTCTTCTTGGAGAAAAACTCCTGAAAAGGGTTGAGAGGGAACATTAGAAACAGCCCGGCTCCCCGCTGTGAGCCGTGTTATAGTTAAGCAAAGTACTAAACTCTGATAAAGACCCCTGAAACGCCCAGTGGCTGCTCAAAGCCTCTACTTACCAACGAGGTGGAGTCCTCAAAAGGCCGCGTGATATTCTTTCTGAAAAGCATACACAGGCTTTAAAACACTGTCCTCCCACCTGACAGAGCTTGTGTTTCTGTTTAAAGACGTCCCACTGTGGACACACTGCCTCCAGATGCTCCATCTCCTCCTAAGATCCGACTAAAACTGATAAGATGGAGTTCTGCGGGTTACGAGCTCCACCTGTTTTTTCTGCATCCCCTAAAGTAAAAATCAGTGGCTGGGACTCACCACACTCACTCCCTCACCACAGCTCAGACCTTCTCTTCTGCTTTTTTTGCCCAGTTCTATCTACCTTCACTATTCAGCACATGCTCTCTGGTCCTTCTGTGCTTTCCTCTTACTTTAAATCCAAATTCCAGCACAAGACGGCTGAGCACAAACTCTTATCAGCTAAGAAATCTAGAGAAAATCTAATTCCATTGTTGCATTCATATTAGAAGTTCCCTTTGCTAAAAACCTCCCCTGTGCTTGACTGAATAGTTCTTGATGAATAATGAATTCTTGACGTTAAATGGCTTAACAAATGAGTTGGAGTCAGTGGTACTTTCATTGTGAAGAATCCATGGCATATCCCCTGCTATAACAAGAATTTGTATTTTTCAATTTTCGTTTCAATCGTCTGTGGATTGAAGTCCACAGAGGAACTGCACATGCCCGCTGACCAGAGCCTGGGTTTGCTCTGTGAAGCAGCTATTTCAGTCCTGATCCGGATCACTTACTTCTTGTACAGCACAGCACTGGGCTTCTTCAGGGCATACTGCAAGAAAAAGAACTTTTGTTTAGATCAGAAAAATAGTCACTTTTCAAACATCCTTGGAGATCCAGTAAAAACACCCTCTGGATTCTGCCTCAGAGCTGTTGGGCCACTCCATCCCTCATATTCCTACACAGTGAAAAAGACAAAACGTCCCTGGCTCACTCACGATGTCTTTCAGGGCCTGGGTTACGGCCTGATTGGTGTTCCCTCCTTTCATTATCATGGCGCTCTTGCCATCCTCCATCAGTTTGGGCGCTCTGCCCTCCAGGAAGCGCTTCGAGCGCTTCGTCTTTGGTTTTCTGAGGACAGAAACACAGAAATAACACAGAACCGCCTTTGAGTGGAGCCATTGAAAAGGATACCTGTGAGAAATTAAAGGTTTTATGACCAGATGGAGCTTTTGTTCTCAGTCAGCCTTCTCCAACTTAACTTGTTTCACAATACAAAGACTCTCGACACATTTCCCTTACACTCTGTTTACGGCTATATGCTATTGCTCCATAAGCTTATTCTACATACAGACTTCTCTGCAGCTTTCCTACGATCCTGGAGATTGATCAAAAAATAATTCTGGGGCTTCTGGTTATAAGCATAAAACATCAGCTCAAAAAATCATGGACATCTTCTCCTGAAAAGCCAAAGTTCAGGCCCAAAACCATCTAAACTACCAACAGACACAAAGACCTAGTTGGCCTTAATCATTTGATTTATCCAGGTTCAAAAGCTTCTGAGACAATTTATTGCATCTGATTGACTGTGAGGTATTCACAGTGCTGTCGGTGATCAATTAAAAGAACCTTTCTAAAAATCTATCTTAGTTTCAGGTCTTTACAGCTGCAAAAACAGGTTTTAAACAGGCATTCCCTCAGATCTGAGTCAAACAGATAGTATGCATCTAGATCTAGATCTAATCCAGTGATCCGTTAGTGGTGATGCTTATGCTGCCTAGAAAAGGAGGTGGTCTAAAGACAGAAAAGTCCTCATCACGAGTGTCTTGACTAAAGTCAAGGTAACATCAGGAACATCCTAACAAGCTCCCATTCCAAAAAGAGGCTCCTCAAAAGTGGAGGACAATGTGGAGTGTTGCTGTGAACATCTGTCCAGCTGTCCAAATGGAGACGATTTTCCCCCATTTTTTGAGTTTGGCATCAATGAGCAGAGGAAGTACAGCAGATGCTGTTTATCAGGGACTATTCTGATCAGGAAGTAATTTAAATGGTCAGTTACATCCAACAAACAAACAAACCGAGCGCTAAGAGAAAGCTAATTCCGAACTTTTGTCCCCAATGACAGACAACATCCACCTCCACAGGTCAATACTTTGTTAAAAAAAATGTTTTACATGCATACACGCCTTATAAGATTCCACGTGAACCAAAATCTTTCCTCTGAGCTGCGTTAGCTGCCGGACAGCTAAGCTAGCGGCTAGCTAGCCCCAGCTAGCTTCACCCGGAAAACAACCAACACTTCAAAACCGCGTTTTACTCACGTTACGCCGTCTAACTGCGTCATTTTGTCGCCTTTGTTGGTGTTTTTGTCAACTTTACGAGCACCCGGGTGGACACCAAGTCCACGTGAATCTCAGCGTGGTAGACGACAACCTTTCTTCTTCGTGTTTGGGAATCGGTTGAAGTCTCGCGAGCGTTCACTACCGCCACCTAGCGGCAGACTCACGCATATCAGGCTACGGACTTTAATGAACACTAAAGGAAAAAAAGAGAGGATGGTCTTCCATCACACATTGATGGAGCAGATTAAATATATACGCACAAAAAAACATAAAAGTAAGTCTGACTAGATGTGGTAATAGAAAGATAAACTTCTCACGGGGTGTGATGAGTCAGTGGTTTGAGTGTTTGAAATTTTAAGTCTTATTATATTTCACCAGTGGTGCTCACAAAGATGTTTAATTTATTTTCAGTTCTTTAGTTTAGGAATTAAAGGTTGTAGTAAGAAGTGCCAACTACATTTAGTGAAGTATTCCTCTTTTTGGACATTTTGAATCCATTCTTTCATTGTTTTCCATGACCTCACCTGTTTGTGCAGAGCCTAATATTCTGTCTGGTCAGTTTCCACATATAATGCTCAAACACTAACTGGTCATGTAGAAATGTCCTGGCCTGGCTGAGCGGTCAGGGATCCGGGACGTCCTTTCTGAAGATATTAGGTCAGTATGCATTAATCTCCTTTAAACATGCGTCACCGGTGGCTCAATCGAATAAAACTATGGCCACTGTAGCAGGCTTTTAAATGGTATTTAATCTAATAATAAAAACAGACATACCTTCAACCAGTGTTGGGGAGTAACGGATTACATGTAACGACGTTACGTAATTTAATTACAAAAAAAGAGTAACTGTAATTCGTTACAGTTACAATGAGAAAATATGTAACTGAGTTACAGTTACTTCTGAAAATATTAAGAATTACAAATTTAGTTACCTTTTTTTAAAAATATAAAGAAAAACCTTTGCAAAATATGCAACTCACTGATAGACGAAGCGTATTGGTTTACTAATATTTGACTGTTTGGTTTTGATGCATGACAAACGTTTACCGATGTCTATGACCTAGCCTAGCCTAGCCTACCTAGCCTACCCAACTGTAGGTGACCAGACGTCCTCTTTTTCCCAGACATGTCCTACATTTCAGACTAGGGTTGTCAAAAGTATCAATACTTAAAAAAGTATCGATACTAAAATGTTGTATCCGGATACGACTGACCTGCCGTCGCTTGTCTCCGATTTATTTACGTATTTATTTACGTTGTTTATGATCATTAACAAGACGTTAGCCTTGAACTGCTAGCTGCGGCCAATAGCTAATAATAACATGCTAAAATTAATCATGGGTCAATACTCATTAAAACCTTAAAGTAATCGAAAAGTAATTAAAAGTAATTAGTTACATTACTTTTTAAAAGTAATCCAAAAAGTTACACTACAATTACATTTTAAACAAGGTAACGTGTAACTGTAACGGATTACATTTTTAAAGTAATGTACCCAACACTGCCTTCAACAACCTTCATGTGCTGATAGATGAACTACTGCTGAAGCTGACAAGTGACACTAAGGAATGTAATCGCATTCAACAGCAGCAAATCCTGTCACCTGAGGCGGTTTCAGACATGGTTGAATTCATTCTCATGTCCCGTGACATCACAATCGTCTTACCTGTATTATTGGATAATATCGGTCCGACATATTGACCCAAACACGTTAAGATGATTGGATGCAGCTCACTGGTGCTGTACCCCAGCTTCCTCCCATCACCAAAAACGTGCATGTTAGGTTAACACAAAGGTTTGCACCTCTGGGAGTGAATGTGAGTGGTTGTGTGTCTCTGCGCGGTCCAGTGAAAGAACGGTGTTGTGTTTAGTAACGACAAAACTAAACTTTTCCTGGATCAAATCCCAACAAGTTGTGATGCATGTGTGGACTTCTGCTGCTCTGGTTTACTAAACGGACGCTAGAAGATAATATTTTTACTTTTGTTTGTGATGCCAATATACA